CTACCACGTTTGGCATTTTCTTTTATACTGTAAGTGTGCTCAGATATGGTGCATAGAAGTTGGAGAATCAAGGTGGGCAAAAATCCACAAAAAAAATCCAAAAAAAATCACATCCAAAAAATCTATATAGGGAAAAAGCTGCCAAAATAGGAGTTTTTCGGAATCCATCGTCATCATCGAACCTTACTCCAGTCGACCCTTAATTTCAAATCATATTCACGTCGTACAAATTGAGAATAATGAGGATTCTGAAAACGGGCTCAGTACCCTTTTTGATTTCTAAACCCGGTAATTTCTTGCGAAATGGAACCAAAGTCGTAAATAATGACGAGAAGAACATCACTGATCAGTTTTATGCTTGGCTTTGCTTTTGGGTTTTGCTTTGAACGTTTTTGCCGAATGCGAGCGCTACGATATTATGCTCCGACCCATTATTTCACGTGAGCCGTGGCCTGAGCAACCCTTTTGCGCCATGAATAAACGTGCACTTTGTGATGTGGGAATTTCTTCGCTCGTCAATCGCGTTTTCTTCTTTTCAAAGCGTTTCTTATGCTTGGCAGCGAAACTGGCTATCCACTAGTTTGAAGTAGTTTGATAATCGAAGTCTCATTTGCTATTCATGGATCTGCCAAAACTGCTTTCTTGTTCATGTTTTTGCAATGAGTTTCTGAATAATAGTGAAGTAGGAGCTCCAACTCAATTATGAGTAAACTTGTTGATTACTTTAGTAACGTTCTCTCTTGGAAGAGGGTATGAAATAGCGGTAATTTACCACAATAAAACTTATATTTAATCAAACATCTCAGTTTTCTACATCTAAAGTTGTTTTGGATCTTAATATGATTGTATAACTTTTTTAAAGTTTATTTAGGGCGGAAGTGGTGTAGTGGCAAGTGGCACGCTTACCACGCGAGCGGTCCGGGGATCAAATCCTGGGTCGTGAGTCGCCCGGGCCAACCAAGCCTTCCATCCCTCCGGGGTCGGTTAATTGGTACCAGACTTGTCTGGGAGGATAAAAACACTGACTTGTACATCGGCTGGCCCCCGCAAGTCATTGTATAGGCCACATCGCATTCAAACGCCACTACGAATGTACAAATGGAAGTAGAATGCGTGCCGCATCCCAAAAGGGATTGATCAACGGCAAATGCTTTATCCTTATCCTTTATTTAGGGGGTGGGATTCAAAGAGTCGTTTAGTCGCCGTTTCGTACGAGCCCCTAGACGGAGTCTAAACGACTAGGTAAAGCTAAAGCTACAATGTACAGCAACAGTCTTTGCGCCGTGAACGTTGTTGACGCGAAACATGCGTGCACATGCATGCAGTCACTTGAGACTTTCCCCAGAAATTCGTTAGGTCGTGAAAGTAACACAATGTTTATCCAGTTCCCGACCAACACGTGATGTCCCTGTCTCCTTCAATCCACAGTTGTCTATCCAAATATGCTTTTTCAGATAACATCAAGGCATTTTGATTCCCACCAGTTGAGAGCAAAAAGTATCTCATGTCCGTTTCTTTCTCAATCGAATTCGTGATTCTAGCACTTGAGTGAAAGCTTGGGAGGGGGAATGGCCTCAGTGCATGACACGCTGCCGTCGAGTGAAATTCATTTCCAGACGTTTTTTTCAAGACAATTGAAGGAAACTCCAGAAAATGGGCACTTTCTGGAAATAACGGGATGCCTAACCAGGGTTCGTGGGATGTGTCACGCCTCCAAGCGCCACACACAGAGCCCATTTAGAGCTTTTCGAATGCTTACTTGCCTTATGCAAAGATGATTTGTTGGTGTTTATATGGCTCAAGGTCGTTTTTGTCTTCTTGAAGAAATCTAACATCAATTACTTGACTCCTAAGAGATGCATTGCTTAGATAGCCTCGCTGGGATTCTGTTGATGGAACAAGCAAACATTAGCGGCGCCTTTTTGTCTTAGAACTAGAACCATTTTAGACTATCCCGCCGTGGGGAACCTCGGCAGATATTCATATCATATTCAGATATTACGCAAAATCTGAAGGCCTCTGACTCAATCAAAGGACGGCTGGAACTCATTCATATTCATTTTTTTATGCTGAGAGTTGTGCTTATTTACTTCGCATGTTTGCGGTCCTTTAAAACATTCATGGTTTTTTCCATGCATCACTAGCTTCACGAAAAGCATGTATTCCAAACCTATGACTTCCACACCGACTTGTTGAAGTGAAATATGGTTCACGTCTAAACTCAGGAACCCAATCTTATCTACATGTAAATCTTTTTAGAAATTTGGTCTGAATGTTGCCTTTTGTACCTGGATGCTGCCGATACATATTATTGTTGTCGCCATATTCTGTCCGATTTTCAGCCTCTTTTCAAACTATTAACATGTTATCGTACCTAGAAAAACAAGTTTTTTTCTAATTAATATCGCTCTCCAATCGCTGATATGTACCCATTTGCTAGAAAGCGAGTGATGTATTATATTTAGTTCTTCCGCAAAAAAAAGAAATAGGGGCCGAAAAATTCAGAAAGGTCGGTGCTGAGGTGACTATATTCCGTAACGTTTTTCTCTTGAAGCTACCGCTTCAGGGCGCTCTGGAGGAAACAGTCCGATGGGTAACATCAGAGAAATACGATGGATATGCTACCGTGGTCCAGCCTCTTACAACGGTGCGAGTTGTCTTTCCAATAGGACTTCTGTCAGTCCTTTGGAGACTGAGATTTTTGAGACGCTTCGATCGGTTTCTCGCATCTACAGAGACCAACCGTGAAGCTTTTCCACAGTCACCTCCAATGCTTGCCTGCATACAGTCAAGCGGTTCCCGCAACTGGATATTAAGCGAATCCCACAATCCTGAAGTAACATGCTCTAATGACAGAGCTTGGGTTTTGGTTGAGATGGTCGGTCTTGTGGTCGCAGCAGCCGTAAGGCGTATCGTGGGTTGTCGTATTGAACTCATGACTCATCTCCACTGGTGGCCAACTAGGGAGAAATTGTTATCGTTCGCCAAACCCAGAGATTTTCACCTGATAGTCAGGTGTGCTTCTCGGTCATGGTCGGTCGGTGCATACGGTTTCCATTAAGACCTTTTTCTACTGCAACCCGGATGGTGAGCGCTGGTGCATCGCCTGGGCATAGATGTATGAAATTTTACCCTGGAGTAGCCGTCCGCTGGCTTCCAACTCATAGGCGCAAGGGTTCCATCGGCTGTGACTGAAGGTACAGTTGAGGTTCGAACATAGCATGCTTCTTAATGCTTGCCTGATGCCTATCGAGCCAGTATTGCAGTGCCTGTTCAGTAGGAGGGACAGGGTCAAACACAATGCTGATCGTGCCTACTGCGCTCCTTGCAAGGTTCGCCTTCAAACGGTCGTACAGTATAATCGTTCGTTTGGTCGTTGACCAATTCGACTCCTAGTTAATACTCCTCGCGGTTTTCAATTTCCAGAAAAACCTTGCTAAAGCTTGATGATTCTTCGCATATACTTCATACCTTCGCATAACTCTTATTTGCTTGAAGAAATTATGAATTTGTACAAAATGACGACAGAAGTTATAGACAACCAATTATCTAACACACAATCGATGCATAGTTCCAGCTATGAGTCTGGGTAAGCTACGAATCAACAAATTTCGGCTGATACGAATATACTAGGCAGGACCAATATGTCCTCTCTCTCCTCTACGTACAACCCTACTCTCAAACATTCACATCAGCCAAAACCGGAATTCTGGGCTATTCCTTAGTATTCGTTTCTAAATTTCATGAGATCTCGTTTTCGAACTAAGAGCAAGACTTTCACAAAATCACAAAAGTTTATGGATCCCGTCAAAATCTAAAGCATTAGCTTAATCTTCGTCACCCCTTTAACAGGATGCTGCCAATTATCTAATACAACCGTGTCTCAAAAAAAAGCTAGATACGAAGCCCCAGTAGGGAATACATTGGCTCATCCTGGTGGCCACTATTTCGGGTTTCTCTGCTCTTTCAGCTGCGATCACCTTCGCATGCCACTGATCGTTAAATAGAAGTAAAGACCACGACAGCCGTGCAGGTCGCATAACGACTGTAAAATCAACTTTCCCTTCGCTAGCAGTTGCAGCGACTGCCCAATAAAAGCAAGTTTCAGAGAAATTGGTGATTGATTTTCTGCAGTTCCAGGGGGCCAATTCTGTCGTAAAATAACCAGAAATTGTTGAATTTCTTGTCACCCTCTGCTCGTGAATAAAAATAGAAATCGATCAACGGACGTTTTCAATGATTGCTCATCCATCACGTGTTGGTCAGTGGTATTCAGCTGGATGCATTGTAGTCATATGTCGCACTCTTCAGCTCCGGTTTACTCAGTTTGCAACACCTAGTTAACCTGCAAGCGGACATTCTATAAAGTTACCTTTGTTGACGTGGTGGTAAAATTCGGCTTAGATTTTCTGCTACGAAATCCAGACTCTTCGCTCACACTGCTGCGCTTTCGTCTCCCGAAGCTCTCCACACGGCCACCCTCGACGCCATCGCAGGTCACCTGCAAAACGTGTCTGTACTTCGAAAATCGTATTTGATTTACAGTGCCATTGTACGATGCCATTCCTAAGGTCATTGACATCTTCCTCAGTCGATGCGACGGCCGCAAACTTGCGCTCACCAATTCTTATCTCATCTCACTCAAGTAAACATTGATCGATAACAACTCGGCCTTCTCCCGTTCGATTCTAATCTGATGGAGACTATTTCCTGCCCATTTGTAAGAAAAAACCTCAATCGTTCTGTTCAGCAAAATAATCGATGACAACGACGTCATATCGTGGAAAAACAATTTTGCCTCGATACGTCTGTATTAACGGAAACCTCGAAGAGAATGTGCCCATCGCCATCGACGACGACGGTGTGATCACGGAAATCGGCGGCTTGTTACCGTATGACGTGATACGGCTCGAACATGAGGTGTGCCCGTTCATTCTGCTTTAACACATATTCAGGCCGGATAAGAGTTTGCGACTCGAGCGATTCGCAAAATCTGACCTGGGCTTAGCTGCAGCTTTACCCATGGTCACCTGTGGTATTGTAAAGAGATCGAGCTACTAGACACTCAGCATAATTAGTACGACATTCAGGTCTCTATCTTATTACTAGGCCAACCTGCTTACATATATAGATGAGCCTGTTGAGCACTGCTTGTATTAAACGAAAGGTTTAAGGTCCTAAATCGCTATAGTACTGTTGATGAATCATTTCGGACTCAGTTGAGGCTCAAACCTTGTCCTTTCGACCAACATCGGGACACGTTTGTGCCACCCTAATTTGACGAACTTGTTGAAAAAAAGAACAGTTTGAAGACCATGTGTACCGAATAGGAACCGCGCAATCTTGACTCTGATAAAAATCCGTTCCATTCGTAGAAGAAAGCCAGTTCACTTCGGACTGAATAGGGGTATAACTACTACAGTGAATTACTCCGTATGGGCGATCCTCTGTCGAACTTTCGTAGGCTCCCCTAATTATTATATAAGGGGTGTGTCGTCATCGCAGCCCCCGGATTCCGATCCCGGACCATTCGAATAGGCGGAACTTCTGTCGCACTCAGCGGCTAATGAGCTGCTCTAGCACTCTTTTGATAAGTAGTCTAAAGCAGATCGCCAGTACGAGTTGTCATTGGACTATTAGGCCATAGAATTCCAATTAGAGTGGAACTCATTCTTCAAACGGCTCTCATCTAAAAGTTCGTCAAACTGCTGTTACACATGTGTTTAGCCAAAATGTCAAAAGATTAGTGAGGTTTTGACCATTTCAGGAGTAGGAACAGAGTTTAAATAGAGATTCCGAATGAGACTTGATTAGAAGCTGTGCCCAGTCAAGTCATGGAAGGACTATTTTGCTTCCCCATAACGGACGTTTTTTTACTTCTCCTTTGTTCCGGATTCTTTACCCAGTTCTCAAGCGGCCTCTGTATATGTAACACAGTCACCACGAAGGAGTACCCTGCATTACTATGTGAAAAATGCAAGGGCGAAGCCTCTGATTTTTGAGCAAAACTTAAGAGTCGTAAGACCGCCTCCATGGCTTCTTCTTCCGCTTCTTCCCCCGTGTTCCCACCCCACTTCACAAGGGCGGCTCCCTCTATTTCGGATCTGGAGACTCCCTCTATTTCGGAAAACGAGAAAGCGTCGAGTGCAGACCACACACCACAAGTGACGACGGCCAAGAAAAAGTGGCTTTTTCTTTTCTTTTTTCTTGGCCGTCGTCACTTGTGGTGTGTGGTCTGCACTCGACGCTCTTCTCGTTTTCCGAAATAGAGGGTAGTTTGTGCCCATATATGCTTCCGAACGTGGTTTTTTCCCACGATCACTCCGAATGGAACAATATAACGTGCGGGGGGGGGAGGAGGAGGGGGTTCATGGATGATTCTGCAAAATATTTAACCAAAGTTCGAAAACGTTTAGACATAACAGGCGGTTACTTTGCGGCCAACCTAATCGGAATCGACACAGACTTCAGTGAAAGCTACACCAGCTGCACACCTCGCAAAGAGTTTGACAAGCGCTGAGTGGTTTTTTTATATTTCGTTTTGTTCAGAGTGGGATGTAGCTCAAGAATGTATAGAAAAGAGTTTCATCGCCAGATTCTCATTGCTCACAATCTAGAGGTAGAATAGTCAGGGACGTTTAACTTTAGGCGAAACCGCCACAGAGCACTATGGCAAAACCCAAGTCCATATTCTCTGAACAAATCTGTGAACACATTCTTGAGCTCTTACAGTTACGTACTGGGTCATGGATTTATCTACGCAGGAATCCGAACAAACCACAAGCTCATTTAACCCAAACCTTGTTCTTGTGAATTGGGCGCAAGAACTCTTGAAATGTCTTCAACACTGGACGAGTAACATTGAGATGACACATAAGAACCTGAAGTAATTACAAGTTGGGTGGGTCCCCTTTCTGGTCAAGCTGAAACGTACCGCTAGAAGAACAGGATATGGTGTCCTCACGGGTAGGTGCCTCGGCTGTACTACAACGGCTGTGTAAGCAGTTGAGCAGGATGAACAGTTGAGTGATCGACATAATAGTAAACGCCACAAGAGCTGCAACACATGCGAGGCATCCCCAAGAAAAAACGAATTGGTCGACAGGCATTGATGAAAACTCTGGAAAAAATCTCGAAGAATGTAAGCATGGCAAATTTCCAGCGCCCTCAGTTGCGGTTCGTGTCACATCGGGTAGAGATAATTGATCGAAGGTAAAGCTTCACTTCTGCACTGAAACCCGTGATCATTTTCTGAAGGGCTTTCGGTATCTATTTTTTTATGTGTTGCAGTACGGTTCACCACTTGATTCGTTGCCAACCCTTGTAAACCCCTGATCATTGTGTCCACGATCACATGCAGTTTTACTAACGTAAGTAGAAATTCGCGATAAAAACGAAGCGATGGAAGTTTGCCATTCAACGACAATTGAAAAGAACACGTACAACTCTCATATTTTTTCTTTGCTACTATGTGGGTTGAGCAGCTTTCGTAATACAAAATGAGAAAAGCGCCGAGACCCGAAAAATCGCAAATAGAGACGGGCCGGATTCCAACACTTAAGCTGTAGGCAGGGAGCGTTTGTTCAAAGACTTGGGCGCAAAGCTCCCTACCTACAGCTTAGTATTGGGGCACAGAGTTTACTACCTGTAATAGCCAAGGAGTCTATTAGTCACGAAGGAAGTCGTAAGTTTTGATGCAAGTTGCGAGGTTCTATACTACGATCTTAATCTTCAATTCTACGCGGACAGATATAAGACAAGCGAGCACATGTACGATGTCGATGCCCTTCGAAGGCGTAAGTAGCGCACGGAACATCACCAGAATTCAATAGTTACATACCCACTGCTAATACTAATAAATAAGTTTTGTCTAGCCCATAATTTTGTGAATATACACGCGACATCTTTTTTATTTCGAACAGGTGGGCAGAAGAATCCAAGCGATTTCCATATCAGAATATGGCTTAAGAAGCACCTCAAGAAATTTTCATATAAAAGAGCTGGCACTGCTAGCCGTTCATCTCACAAGAAAGGCTCTCATGGTCAGGTCGATATGGCCATTCGAGATGAGACGTATACAACTAGCCTTCAGACGGAGGAAGATTTGACAACACCGTCTGTGCCTTCAGACGGTGTTCTCAATCATACTTCCGTTGCTGAGGCAGTTCTGTGAACGGAGGTATGGAGCAAAACAGCGTGACAGCAGTAGTCGGGACCAGCAGTCAAAATGTCATAGGATCGCTCCCTTATCGTAATTACTGTTTTGCATTCTTCAGGAACTTAGTTAAATAAGCTATACGAAGTTATTACGGTACTTCGGAAGAAAGGAAAACATCAAACACAATAAGGGACAGGTCCTGCGACGTTTTGACTGTGAGTCCCGACAACTACCGCTGCGCTGTTTTGCAACATGACTCCGTCAAGAGAATTTTAGCAGAATTGGAAGAGAGATTTGTAGACAGCGTTCAAAGGCACATCTAGGTATCTCATCTAGAATGGCCATGTCGACCTGACAAGGAGAGCCTTTCCTTTCAGTTTATTCATGCTGTGGAGATGAGCGTTCCAGGGAAGTGTCTATCGTAAAAATAATTTATAGATGTCTCAAAGCTTCTGAACGCAGGTCTCATCGGAAACAATCTATGATTTTGGCGCCTAAGTGCTTAGGCAAATGCGGGGTCGTTTCCGAAAATGATTAATTGGGCGCCCGAATTCCAGGGGGTGTTCGAGACGGCCCGCTGACAGCTCAGTCGCATTTCATCTTTCCATTGTGAATTGAACGCGGACAGAACCAATGATTCGTTGGCAAAGAACAACTACCACGTCTACCGTCTGAAAAAGCCACTAGCCTGGTCGTGTGTTTAGTTCTTCTCAGTGATACGTAATTGTTCAGTTACGACGCGCTTCTTCACCTGTCTACCCTGGAAAACTGCAGTATTTTGTGGTCTGATCCTTAGCCATCTCACCAGCGGCACATAAATAGCATTTCTTTGGAATGCCACTTCTACCCTTCTATGTACTATAAGGGAGTAGAAAACCTTTGAATTATTACAGGTATTGGGAGAACTATTACAGGTATTGGGTTGGAGCATAATTGTAAGTCCGAGGGCTACGGATCTAGAGAATACAAGTATCAGCCAGGAAACACATATATCATTTCGGAAGTACTTCTTTTGCTCTATAATACTGTTTCGGCGGCATTTTCTTTTATACTGTAAGTGTACTCAGATATGGTGCATAGAAGTTGGAGAATCAAGGTGGGCAAAATCCACAAAAGAAATCCAAAAAAATCACTTCCAAAAAAATCTATATGGGGAAAAACGCCAAAATAGGTTGTTTCTCGTCATCGTCATCATCGAACCTTACTCCAGTCGACCCATTTTTAATCATATCCACGTCGTACGAATTGAGAATAGTGAAGATTCTAACGACGGGCTCATACCCTTTTTCGATTTCTAATCCGGTAATTTCTTGCGAAATGAAACCGAAGTCATAAATAATGACGAGAAGAACATCACTAGTCAGTTTTATGCTTGGCTTTGCTTTTAGGTTTGCTTTGTTTTTTTTTGCCGAATGCCAGCGCTACGATACTATGCTCCGACCCCATTATTTCACGTGAGGTTGGGCCTTAGCAACCCTTTTGCGCCATGAATAAACGTGCACTTTGTGATGTGGGAATTTCTTCGCTTGTCAATCGTGTTTTCTCTCTTTCAAGCGTTTCTTATGCTTGGAAGCGAAACTGGCTATTCACTAGTTTGAAGTAGTTTAATCGAAGTCTCATTTGCTATTCATGAATCTGCCAAAACCTGCTTTCTTGTTCATGTTTTTGCAATGAGTTTCTGAATAATAGTGAAGCAGGAGCTCCACTCAATTATGAGTAACTTGTTGATTACTTTAGTAACGTTTATTCTTTGAGAGGGTACGAAGTAAGCGGCAATTCTACACAACAGAACTTATATTTAATCAAACATCTCAGTTTTCTACATCTAAAGTTGTTTTGGATCTTAATATGATTGTATAACCTTTTTTAAGAGTTTAGTTTAGGGCGGAAGTGGTGTAGTGGCAAGTGGCACGCACACGAGCGGTCCGGGGATCAAATCCTGGGTCGTGAGTCGCCCGGGCCAACCAAGCCTTCCATCCCTCCGGGGTCGGTTAATTGGTACCAGACTTGTCTGGGAGGATAAAAACACTGACTTGTACATCGGCTGGCCCCCGCAAGTCATTGTATAGGCCACATCGCATTCAAACGCCACTACGAATGTACAAATGGAAGTAGAATGCGTGCCGCATCCCAAAAAGGGATTGATCAACGGCAAATGCTTTTATCCTTATCTTTATTTAGGGGGGGGTTCAAGAGAGTCGTTTTACTTCCGTTTCGTACGCGCCTCTAGACGGAGTCTAAACGACTAGGTAAAGCTAAAGCTACAATGTGCAGCAGCAGTCTTTGCGCCGTGAACGTTGTTGACGCGAAATACGTGCACATGCAATGCGTACTATGAAGACTTTCCCCAGAAATTCGTTAGGTCGTGAAAGTAACACAATGTTTATCCAGTTCCCGACCAACACGTGATGTCCCTGTCTCCTTCAATCCACAGTTGTCTATCCAAATATGCTTTTTTCAGATAAGCATCAAGGCATTTCTGATTCCCACCGTTGAGAGCAAAAAGTATCTCATGTCCGTTTCTTTCTCAATCGAATTCGTGATTCTAGCCACTTGAGTGAAAGCTTGGGAGGAGGGATGGCCTCAGTGCATGACACGCTGCCGTCGAGTGAAATTCATTTCAAACGGTTTTTCAAGACAATTGAAGGAAACTCCAGAAAATGGGCACTTTCTGGAATTAACGGGATGCCTAACCAGGGTTCGTGGGATGTGTCACGCCTCCAAAGCCCACACAGAGCCCATTTAGAGCTTTTCGAATGCTTACTTGCCTATGCAAAGACGATTTGTTGGTGTTTATATGGCTCAAGGTCGTTTTTTTCGTTCTTTTGAAGAAATCTAACATCAATTACTTGACTCCTAAAAGATGCATTGCTAGATAGCCTCGCTGGGATTCTGTTGATGGAACAAGCAAACATTAGCGGCCTTTTTGTCTTAGAACTAGAACCATTTTAGCCTATCCCGTGGGGACTCGCAAGTATTCATCTGCATTTTTCAGTATTCAAAATCTGAAGGCCTGACTCAATCCAAAGGACAGCTGGCAATCACTTCATATTCATTTTTTTATGCTGAGAGTTGTGCTTATTTACTTCGCATGTTTGCGGTCCTTTAAAACATTCATGGTTTTTTCCATGCATCACTAGCTTCACGAAAAGCATGTATTCCAAAACCTATGATGCTCACACCGAGCTTTTGAAAGGGAAATATGGTTCACGTCTTAAACTTCAGAACGCCCATCTTATCATACTGTAACTTTAAGAAATTTTTGGCTGGAATGCTTTCCTTTTGTCTGAGTGTGCCATCTATATATGGGTTGTCCCATAATTTCTGTCCGATTTTCAGCACTTTTTCCACTTTAACATTTATCGTCCTGAAAACCGTTTTTTCAATTATATAACCGCTCTCATGATCGCTGATATGTGTACCCATTTGCTAGAAAGCGAGTGAGTATATTAGTTGTTCTTCCGCAAAAAAAAGAAATAGGGGCCGAAAAATTCAGAAAGGTCGGTGCTGAGGTGACTATATTCCGTAACGTTTTTCTCTTGGCTGCCGCTTCAGGGCGCTCTGGAAGAAATAGTTCAATGGGGTACATAGAGAAATACGATGGATATGCTACCGTGGTCCAGCCTCTTACAACGGTGCGAGTTGTCTTTCCAATAGGACTTCTGTCAGTCCTTTGGAGACTGGAGATTTTGAGACGTCGTTGAACGCGTTCTTCGCCTACGAGGACCAACGCGGCTGAAGCTTTTCCACAGTCACCTCCAATGCTTGCCTGCATACAGTCAAGCGGTTCCCGCAACTGGATATTAAGCGAATCCCACAGACATGGAGTAACATGCTCCTATGACAGAGCTTGGGTTTTGGTTGAGATGGTCGGTCTTGTGGTCGCAGCAGCCGTAAGGCGTATCGTGGGTTGTCGTATTGAACTCATGACTCATCTCCACTGGTGGCCAACTAGGGAGAATTTTTATGCGTTCGAAAAAGAAAGATTTTCCCGGATAAAGTCAGGTGTGATTCTCTGTCTGGTCGGTCGGGGCATAGGTTTCCATTAAGACGTTTTTTACTGAGGGAACGCGGATGGTGAGGCTGGTGATCGCCTGGGCCTAGATGTCTATGACATGTTTAAGCTGGTAGTGCGCCGCTGCGCTTCAATCATGGCGCAAGGGTTCCAATCGAGAAGGATGAAAGGTACAGTAGGTCGAACACTGCAGCTTCGATCGTCTGCTGATCGCTTATGCGAGCAGTAATCCAGTGGCCTGTTTCAGTAGAGGGGACAGGTACAACCATGCTGATCGTGCCTCTGCGCTCGGTGGCACGGGGTTGTTCGCCATTCAAACGGTCGTACGTATAATCGTCGTTTGGTCGTTGGCAATTCGCTACTAGTTAATACTCCTCCGCGGTTTCAATTATCCAGAAAACATTGTTAAGCCTTGATGAATCTTCGCTATAACTTCCATACTCGCATAACACTTATTTGACTTGAAGAATTTGAAATTTGCTACAAAAATCGGAGGACGAAGTTAATGAGAAAAGCGAATAGCTAACAACAATATGCATAAACGATTCCAGCTTTGAGTTGGGTAAGCTACGAATCAACAAATGTCGGCTAATACGAATATCCTAGGCAGGACCAATATGTCCTCTCTCTCCTCTACGTACAACCCTACTCTCAAACATTCACATCAGCCAAAACCGGAATTCTGGGCTATTCCTTAGTATTCGTTTCTAAATTTCATGAGATCTCGTTTTCGAACTAAGAGCAAGGCTTTCACAAAAAACAAAGATGGAAAGCGAGAGGTGCGGGTTCTAGTCCCGCCTGGGGCGAAAGTTTTGTTCACAACCCAGCATTCTTGTGAAACTAGAAAGTATAGTATATCAATCTTTGGAGGGCGTTGCTCAAGCGAGAAAAGTAACGCACTGAAAATCATTTCGGCGAACCCTTTTGACCGCTACTGTATGTAAGTGAGCATCCTTCAAAGTGGATGATGTAGTGAGAGGTAACCGCGCGACGTTGCTCGCCTTAGACGTACCGCGTGAGCGGCAACTGGTCCAAATATGATTACTGTGCGAGAAGCGGCATACATGCAAAGCCAGATAGGCAGGAGTTGGGAGGAGCAGGCTGAAATCACCGTTAAAGCTCTTGCCCACGCTAATAAGGCATTCTCATTATAGGTACTTGATAATTGCTTGCCCCTTTCGTTTGTTAAAGAAGCGAGAAGAGTGAAAAAAGGAAGCGTCCCTACAAATTCATATCCGTTAATAGGTGTGGTCGCACTTGGGCATCTCGTTACCCCCTCCCACCCCCCCCCCCCACCACCCTATCCCTGTTGTCTGGTAAGGGAGGCTTATCTCAGGAAACAAGGAGAATATTGCACAACCATCCTGTTCAAAATTGTACGATTGAGTACTGAAATTCTTAAAATTTTGTTTTAGCCCATTCAGCACGAGCTGTTACTTTTGATAACATCAGAAAGCTGTACGAATTCGCCGTAGAGAGAAAGCTCGCATTCCACATCCATCTTGAAGAACAACCGAAAGAGATTGAGGACTGCATGCGATTTCTCGGAGAGAAAAAGGTATCACATAGACATTGTGAATAAATAAAAAATTCCACTAATCCTACTGCTTCTGATTTTCATTCCTGAGAGCAAATTTCTCTCTTCTCAAAATCGTCAAAGCCGCAATGGGAAAAGATTTGGCTTCGCTCTGGTAATAGATAGATCATGAATTGTGCCACATGCTCTTCCTCGTGTTTGAACGCCTTGAAGCAACTTTTTTTGCATAGAGCAGGGGCGACTCTGTACTTGCGGCGGATAGGGTTCTGTTGTCGCCCGGAACTAGTTTTTGAAAGACTTTTAGAATATTAGCCAGCAAAATTTTTGCGCTTTTCAACCCCAAGATATGGAGAAAGTGTCACATGGTATTCTGCATAGGGCCGAAGAATATGTAGTTATTATTTGCAAAGCCGCTTTCTAATCGTGGCAGGATTGTCATCTCATAGTGAAAGTTTCAGGGCCCGTCGGACGTCCTACTAGAGAATCTCGAAATTGGCGCTCTCTTCTCGGCTGTTCATGCCACCTACACACCGCCCATAACCGTAACTGAAGAAGTTCACACAGCTTGGCGCGAACGTAGTCGTGTGTCCATGCACAGAAGGTGTTCTCCTAACTCGTTTCACCACTCCCATCCGCTTTACCCCTTTAACAACTCGGATACTTTAAAAAGCTGCATACCAATTTCCGCTTTTCTAGGATATCTGGGAGATGGTATTCCGCATGTGATAGATAATCAACACATTAGCTTTGGCACTGACTGCAACAATCGCATCAGCTTTCTCGAGGAAATGCGATGGGCTTGCTATTCTCAGCAGGTTCGGCTCAGGCTAAGAATACATTTATTCAGTATTGTGCGAGCAATTGCTGGAAACCTAGGCGGCATTTCAGATGGCTAGCCAATTATCCACTCTCGCAGTTGTAGGCGGTCTGTCGCAGCCGCTTGCTCCACCACGCTACCATGGGAGGAGCTCGATCCCTCTCTATTGATAACATCACTGGAAGTATAGAGGTAGGCTTTCGTGCGAGACGTATTCATTTCAAACTGGTTTGCAGTGAAACTGCGCTGCGCTTCTTCCGAAGTGGTAGTGGATGCTCACCACTGTTTTCAAAAACCAGGTGCTCGTCAAGTGCAGACCACACAACACTAATGGCGACGGCCTTTAACAAAATTCAACCTGTTTTGGCCAATGAAATCATTAGACGGTTGCAGTTATATTCTATCGTTGTCACTAATTACAACTACCATTTACCAATCAGTATGAGCTGTAACTGTGAAGTTACCAGAACATGAAGGCCGTCGTCACGTGTGTTGTGTGGTCTGCACGTGACGAGCACCTGGTTTCATGAAACAGTGAGATCTTCACTAGGAATAAGCGAAAAACAATAGACCCAAAGGAACTGTCAGACTGCTCCAATGAGTTGCCCACACGCGAAGAAAAGACTAACGTGGCAATTCATATCTTAAAGGGCAAGTCGAATTTTACGAATAAGAGAGAGCGCATCAGAAAAGCATATGCACCACACGAATCAGTTACTTGGTTGCCAGGGAAGCGAGAAGTGGCGCTTTCACAACGAAAGGTGCGCTGGTTGCTGAGCAGGACTTCGAAAGCGCTCCGCCCCAAAAGCGATCCGCCCACTAGTTTACTTGTTGATTTGGACGAGCTGCGTGGCCAGCAGCGGCGCAAATGGAGCATCTCGATTAAGCGTAATTTGGCGCATGGTGCCATCGCCTGCGAACTCGTTCATAAGGCAACTTTCTAAGCTGTAAGAAATTTTCTAGTATTTCCAGTAAGGAACACGAACTGAGGATTATTGCGTGACTAGCGGGTCAGGTGAATTGATAGAAGACCGCAAGGAATCAAGCTGGGAGTAAAAAAATTACGGCAAAGTTTTCCGAGAATAAAGGATAAAGGATAAAGCATTTGCCGTTGATCAATCCCTTTTTGGGATGCGGCACGCATTCTACTTCCATTTGTACATTCGTAGTGGCGTTTGAATGCGATGTGGCCTATACAATGACTTGCGGGGGCCAGCCGATGTACAAGTCAGTGTTTTTATCCTCCCAGACAAGTCTGGTACCAATTAACCGACCCCGGAGGGATGGAAGGCTTGGTTGGCCCGGGCGACTCACGACCCAGGATTTGATCCCGGACCGCTCGCGTGGTAAGCGTGCCACTTGCCACTACACCACTTCCGCCCTTTTGATAAAACCGTGCTAAAATCAGACTTTTTTCCAGCAATAACTCAGTTCCTAAATGATATGACTGTGACACCAGTTGATCTCGCTCTGATTAGTGTCACCACTGTGGCGTGTTACGTGTACCGTGTTCCAGTGTATAGCTGCCTATACTGGCGGCGAGGTTTAGTTGATTGATAAAATTCAAAACTTTACAGATCGGCAAACAACTGGACTTCGTCTCGTTCAATCTGAACTCCCCCGTTCTAGCCGGCCTCAACTCTGATACATTGGTCGACGGAATCATCTTCAGTTGCGGCAACAGAGAGATCAGTAGAGTCGTTGTCGCAGGGAGTCACTCGGTTTTTCAAATGACCAACCTTTTAACAGTGGTTCGCAGAAGCTGTTCATATGCATGCATACAGTGGCGCTTATCCCTTTGTCACTCCTTCACACTATTTTGTTCGATGTCCATCTTGATATAGCTTGATTTCATTGAATTCCCGCATTCGCTTGTTCCTATGTATGTATGTACCCTGAGTTGGACTTGCCGTTCACAATTCGGTATTTAGTAGGGAAAGAACTGAACGCGGCGCAAGGCAATACCCATGAACTTGCGATGGTTCGGATTCTCCACTCCTCTTGCACCTACCGTTGCTCCAACTCTCTTTTCTTCTTCGCAATACCCGGAACGAGAAAATCAAATGGCTGTGAGCTAGCTAGGTTCCGAAAGATTTGGTCCCTTTTGACATCCTTTAGTTTTTAATAAGGGACAAGCTGATTGCTGATCTTCTTCGTTTGCCGAGAAAATGTTCACAGGAGAGCGCTACTCCTAATTGTTGATTTTATTGGTTCTGTGATAATTCTGTAATGATTTGTGGTTCCTACGGCTGATTGTGTTCATTGTTACACAGAGTCTGGTTTTCGTGCCTATGTATTGAACAAAGGAACTCATTTGTAAAACATACCTGAGCACAACTGTCGATGCAGACGTCTATGGTGCAGCGAATGCGAACTCGTCGTGATCCATCAAAACGGAAAACCTGAACTCGGACTAATAAATAATGCATTTGATTTCACCTTTCGTTTTCATTTCGTAACGTCAAGCATAAAAAGGATAAAGGATAAAGCATTTGCCGTTGATCAATCCCTTTTTGGGATGCGGCACGCATTCTACTTCCATTTGTACATTCGTAGTGGCGTTTGAATGCGATGTGGCCTATACAATGACTTGCGGGGCCAGCCGATGTACAAGTCAGTGTTTTTATCCTCCCAGACAAGTCTGGTACCAATTAACCGACCCCGGAGGGATGGAAGGCTTGGTTGGCCCGGGCGACTCACGACCCAGGATTTGATCCCGGACCGCTCGCGTGGTGAGCGCGCCACTTGTCACTGCACCACTTCCGCCCTTATTCGTTATCTTCTCACAGATTATGCCTTGATCATAATGGACTCGGAAGTAAGAGCACAGTAGTGGAGGCCAGCTGATGGACTAAGCCCTCTGCGCGCTAGAAGTGTTGTCGGGGTCCGCCTTTGACGACCCTTTTTCATGAAAGAATTTCAAATGACATCACCAGAGACCGCCCCACATCCAGCCTATCGTGAATAGACTGATTTTAGGAAGGGGGCCCCCCCCCAAAAAATAATGTGCTTTTGGCTATTCCCGTCGCGGGCCGCGGAATGAGCATTAAGCGGTAGTGCTGCAAGTGAAGTAATCAGACGACAGAAGGCTTATATTCCGGTTCGATCCCCAATTCCCTGTGTGCTCGGGATTTCACGAAATAAATAGGGTTTTGTCTGAGGAAAAGAGCGAGAATGAAGCCCGTATTAACTGTCTGTTTTTTATGGTTTTTTCTTAATTGCAAAAAATAGTACCTTCATTTTTGTGGAGAATCCGTCGGGTTCGCGTACGATCGGCGATTTAATGAGGCGGTTGTTGATTTTCTCATCAGGACACCTTAATATGAAGAGCATCAATCACATTTGAGCCTTGATTAAAGGACTCCTCCACGGAAAGTTGTTCCTTCTCATCTGCTAGGTGGATCTGCCACAGTGGGTGGGAAGGCTTTTGTGATGAAGTGACAAGTTCTTGGCCACGCGTAAGTTTCTGGGAAATTTCAAAATAAAATCGGTTCACCTTTTCACTTCAAGCACATTTGTTTATGTTGGCTCTCCAACACGAGCAGTAGTGACAGTATTGCGACTGGAACTTAGAGGAGCATTTTACGATGAGAAGGCAGCCTATTGGAAATAAGGGTAGAGGTGGTCAGTGAAGTAGGAATGAAAATGATACAGCCCGGAACTCGGTAAATGGGATCTCTTATTTGCTCGTTGATTTTCGCACTAATGCGATCATGAATGCTGAACGCTAACGCCCTCCCTGCCATGTCGGTGGGCGTTCCAGGCCAACCGAGCAAAGGGAGGCCATGTCAGATCGCCGGGGTATATACTTCGTGATTGCGTGCTGTCCGCACTCTTAGGGGATCCGCCTGTCTTTCCACTAGGTAAGTTTTTTCCCATTCTTCAGGCTTCGTTCTCATCCTGGAATATTCCTTTAGGTTCCTTACAGCCTAACCGTTTCTTTGGATTAATCGCAGCCAGCGGTCATATTTCCTTCGTCTTGCTATATTAGTGAAGCTGGGGTTCTAAAGTGTCAATTTCCAGGGAGGAAGGGGACAATTTTTTTCCGCGTACGATTCCTTTGAGCATGAGACTCCATGAACATACCCTCGCTTAATGATATTGAGTGGTTCAGGATGTGGAGGGGCGCCTCCAACTCGTTCGGCAATGCAGCTATCCACAAAGTAGCCATGACCAGGTGACTGCTCCAATACTAAAATACACTACTTCACGAAAAATGTCGAAAAAGGGACTTGAGTCAACTTCTGTATGGGTCCAAAGTTTGTGCCGTTGGCACTGTCGTGCTAGTGCAGAGATACGAAAATGACTGATATCCATAAAAGTCGACCTAAAACAGCATTATTTGTGCGATTGCGACAGTGTTAGTAATTGCAATCCTGAATGAACATACACGTTCAAAGAGACTCGAAAGCACAAGAATAATTTCAAGAAGTACACTACAAATTCTATTTTAAATAGTAAAGTTGTTATTGTTCTTCTCTCTGACTAAGGATGCGTGCTGCCACGATGAATTAATCTCATCAGGCGCACTCGGCTCATCATCAACGAAACACAATACCGCCCCTAATTTTTGCTAAAGAGACAGAATTCAGCGCATTAGTCTGCCGCTTCGCCATAACTTCTGTAAAAATGGTTCAAATGATTTGAATTTAGAACTATTAGATAGCAATCGCCAAGATGAATCCAACGATCTAGTTCATTTCGGCTTTTTTTTTTTAAATTTTCGGCCTTATTTTTAAAGTTAAATCATTTGACCCATTTTTACAGAAGTTATGGCGAAGCGGCGGATTGCCGCAGACTAGTGCGCTGAATGCAGTCGATTCAGCAAAATTTGGGGGCGGTGTCGTATCTCAATGACGAATTAGTGCCAAGTATCGCACGCGAACATGAACTCTTACTACTGACTATATCATCGTGTTGATCCCACAGTAGCTCTTTTCCCCATAACCGAACCACTTATAACTGACGTCGGGCCAAAATGAACTGAGAATTTGTTCAGGGAACCAAATATAGGTCATGTGACACAATCGGACTGATCACAGCTCAAGAAGGAGTTCGCTTAAGCGAGAGTTCTTTGCAGTAGTAGAATCGCGCGATTAAAGAGAAAGTATCGCGTTTAAAGCCTGCTGTTCATGATGTCGGAGACAGCCATTGCTTTCTAAAAACTCACTTCTCCATCGCAGCTCGACCTCGTCACCAAGTGGAACAGTAGTCACCGCTCGCCCATTTCCGGAGTATTTCCAGCTCAATTCTTGAAGGCTTCGTTTCAGTAGTTTCGCCGACTGAAGACGGGGAAGAACTGAAAGTTGTACTTCTGTAAGTATCCCCATGAAATGTATCATCCCCAATGTAAGAATCCCCATGCACTGCATTTCTGATGCATTTAAGTGCATTACACCAAAAAAGGGCTTGTCACTAGCTTGCCCTTTTTTGGTGTAATGCACTTAAATACATCAGAAATGTAGTGCAGGGAAAGTTGTATGCTGCGCGTTAGTACATTAGAACTTCTATATTTTATACTTGCACTTCGTCAAGAAGGTAAAACATGTTACAGGGTAACGTGAAGAACCGCGGTCCAACTGATTCGTGACCAAGGCACGGGAAATTGATCTCCGTTCTTTTTGTAATGACGACCGAGAAAGACCATATCGACGGTGCCTGAACGCAACTATCGACTTCTTACAAATCTACTCAAAGCTAAGCGGTTTCTACTGATACTAAGTATTATCATGTGCAGCAAAGACGGCTTAAAGAATCTCAAAACACTTGGCAGAAAAAAATCTCCTCGCGTATTGTATATGAAGAGCCACTTGGCCACTAGCCGAATCCATACATCGCTTACGTGCCGACTGCGGATGGCACTGCGTCCACAGAGCCACAATAGGTGGCACCAAAGTTAACCATGCGTTCGCACTCTTCGAACAAGGGGGTCACATTTGTGGTTGGTTTTCGTGAGGGGGGGGGGGTCGCATCAGGGGTGGGTTTTTCGAGAGATCTGTGGAAGTATAACAGAGAATATTTGTTCCCCCCCTCCCCTCTCGCTTGAGACTTTTGGAATAGAAGTTGACGGAGTCGGGCTATGTCGACTGGTCGAAACACGCATGATGGTGAGCGTGGTGCCCGGAGGAGAAGCGGAAGGGGGATCGTATAGGGGGAGCATCCTGAGTCTCATGGTGATGAGTGGGTGGAGGGTTGCATCGAGACCCCCTAAAGTAGGAGGCTCGCGAAATTTTTGAGAATGTGCGGACCCCACGATTGACCCTGGTCGGCACACCCGCGGCAACGGTCGTTCGGACATGGAAACTCAAATCCTTACTGACAAGCTCCTTCGCCGCTGTCGGGGGCATTTTATATTTGTCTCGTTGACGCTTCTTCCCGTTTGTTCTTCCATGGGCGTTCCATAATGGGCCATGCCTGCACTCATTTCAAGTGCAGACCCACACGATCCGAACCGTGCCCTTTAAGACCAGGACGACTGGTGAATTTAAGCTAATGCAAAAAGCATGCATATCGTTTCAGACGTATGAAAGTAAAATGAAATGAAATAAAGTAAGCCTACAATCTCAGTGCCGGGACATCTTGGATCAGGATCGTCGCTTTCCGGAAATGGTATGTGCAGCTCTACTTCAGTGGCGTTCGTAAACTCTGTGCGACAGGTGGCAAAGTTTTCCTGAAAAAAAATTCATCTCCCGACCATTCTTATAATTTTTGACGAAACGACTCACTTTGATATAGATGGCACCCACGAGTTTTCCGCCGCAAGTTCCACTTTCACGTCACACAGACTGAGACATACGCCGCTCCGTCGTGAGCCCTCAAATGCATGTTCTACATAAACGCTTATATACGTGAACTCTCCTAATTTGGCGAAATGTTCTCGATAATACGTGAATATGTGTGGTCATTCTCATTTTCGTAGAACCGAGAGAGATAAAGATGAAGAATAGGAAGGGAAAGAAAAAGAAGAGGAGCGAAGAAAGAAAGAAAGGAGAAGAAAATGAAAGGTCAAAGAGGTAGGTTTGTTGCAGGAATAATTGGAAGCCTTAAAGGAATCTTGCGCGGAAAATTCTTGCACTCTTTCCTAACATGAATATGTCAGTTGTGATCACTGGAAATAGCACACAAAGTTTCACGCATGAAGATTCGGTTTCTGAAGAGAAACAAACGTACAAAAACTACACGTTATGGACCATCGAAGGACCAGGAGGCAGAGCCAGGCGAGGCATGGAAAGAAGACGGCGTTTGGCCGGCTACGTACCAGGCGACGCAATGAGAGAATCGGGTTAAAGCGCGCGATTTCGGAGAGTGGAGACAAATCGATCGATGGAATAGGATGGAGTAGAAGTGTAAGATGTGAATGCAACGAAGGCAGAAAGAGCTTCTAGTGAATGCACTCCAAGAACCAAGTTTGAGCATCCCCGTCGCCAGCATTCGTGAAAGACGTCCGTGGGCAATTCGAACGCGTAGCAGCCTTTTCGAGTTTTCGAATTTCTAATCAAAACGAAAGCAATACTTCAGTTCTTTTCACTATTATCGTGGATAATGAGTCTCAAGCCAGTGATTTATGGCTGAAATAGAATCATGATTTTTCCGCGCAAGATTCCTTTAAGTCCTAAAGCCTATCAAAATCCCAACGATGTCGATAGAGGCGAATCCATTTTCCGATTGGAAGCCATAAGCCATCTTCTAGTCACGTGCCAACACCAACAACATTTTCAGCGTTACGGTGGCTTAGGTAATCCGCTCAATCTCTACGTACAGGTGCAGGAAGCAAGGTTAAACATCCGTTTCAAAAATCCCATCCGGTGATCGTAGTGGTGGAAGTTGAAGGGATCGTGCTTGTGATTGAGAAGACCTCTTTTTGGGAATTCGTTGGAATTTGTTTACATTTCACACGAAAAAGGCATGAAATGGGCGAAATTGTGTGGGGATTGTTGTTTCGGAAGCTGGACCCCTCCCGCCCATCTATGCTCGATAACAGTTTTGCCAGAAATGCGGGCGGAGTG